CTATGGTTGTTCCTGGATACTATTTCTTTTAGGTGATATACAGTGGATGTGTGATGTATATGATGTGACTGAAAGACTATCCTGGGCAGATAGCTCTGAAACTGTAGAACAGGAGGATGGTTATCTCAAAGGTGGATAGTTTGCAGAATCCTTTATGTTGATGATGGATTCCCCTAAACAAAAAAAGTCAATGCTGTTCTATTTTTTTAGTATTATTCATTGTATTCACTACCACTCAGTACTGCCCAAAAAAGGAATAATGTATTAAAATGACATTAACATGCAATAATAAGAAGAGCAAATATAATTTTGCTCAAACATGACAGCTCCTCAAGGCAGTCTTTAAGAAATATGATGAAATCAAAACATTTACCAACCTGAAGATCCTGCCTCTTCAAACATATTTCTTTTGTCGTCTTCATCACAGCCTTTTCATGATGTTGTTTCATTCGAGCCACCAGGCCTTGCATTTCTTTGTTGCAGTGTTTGCATTTTGCACGCATTTTGCACGCATGCCTGCCTTACCCATAAGTAGAGGAACTTCATTAAAATATTCACAAACTGGGTCTCTTTTATGGCCTGCTGCCATTCTAGGCTGTTTCCTCCAGGGAAACAATAATATGATAAACCTCAGGCTATACACACAAAGATTCAAAGACTTGCAGAGTATTCTGCTCAAAAGGCTTCACTTTCATTTTTACTGCTTGCTCCTCCCTCCTCACACTTCACTTCTTGTGCAGATCTATTCCACTCCCAGCAATCTTCTATTCATTGGATTTTTTGACATTTAGCACTCAAGAGGTAAAAGGTTGATTTTGCGTACATAAATTTGCAAAGGAACAATGGCATTGAGGTCTTTTTCTCAAATCTGTATGTTTACAACATTTTTGCTGTGAAGAAGAGGCAAGTGATCTCTGCAGACACAAATTCACAGTTTTGAGAACGGTAAAACCAAGCATCTGTGGTAATCTAGATAGAAAAATTGCCCAATAATCTTACAGAAACCTCTGGAAGAGCATGGCATTGTGAATAGATAAATGGAATTCATTTACAAAAAAATTTAAACATTGCATGAATATACAGCCTTGTGCTATATAATTAAAAACAAAATCTTATTTCGTGGTGAATAACGTTTGGACTATAATGTATCTTAAATAGAAAACTATCTTTAGATAGATTTTTCCTCAAAAAGCATTTTATTAAAAAAATCCAAGGGTATAATTTTTAAAAATCTGAATTAAATTTAAAAAATCCAAGGGTTTAATTTTTTTTTTAAGTATTGGTTTTTATCCACCCTGATGGGATGTTATTAAGACATGTGTGATTGTCACCAGGAGGGCTTTTTCTAGGAATAGTTAACCTTAGGAACAATCCTCGATAGGTACAAATGTGTTCTGGGCTACTTCGACACTAAATACAAAAAATGAATCTAAAAGGACCTCCAAGCTGTGCTTCCAATCTTTCAATAAACCAAAGGCCACGGAGCTCAGCATTTTCAGAACATCACTTTCTAGTACCTTCCCACCACAGATGACTTCCAGGTGCACACACACTCACACACACATATAAAAAATACAATCTCCCCACCAAAAAAAGAAGAAGAAAGAAGAAATACTGAGCCTCCCAAACCCAGTCTAGCTAGGTGGACCAGAAGAATACTATGGCTAATGGTGCCTAGCAAATTGGTGACAGTGAGCTGCAAACAGATCTGGAGACCAAATGTCTCTTACTATCCAAAATAGACTTGCTATGGGCTTGAAGCTCAACATCAAAAAAACTAAGATCATGGCATCCGGCCATGAAATTAAAAGACGCCTGCTCCTTGGGAAGAAAGTGATGGCAAACCTAAACAGCATGATAAAAAGTAGAGACATCACCCTGCCAACAAAAGTCTGTATGGTCAAAGCAATGGTATTCCCAGTAGTCATGTACGGCTGCAAGAGTTGGACTATAAGGAAGGCCGAGCACCAAAGAATAGATTCTTTTGAACTATGGTGCTGGAGAAGACTCTTGAGAGTCCCTTGGATTGCAAGAAGATCAAATCAGTCAATCCTAAAAGAAATCCACCCTGACTGTTCCCTGGAAGGCCAGATAGTGAAACTGAAGCTCAAATACTTTGGCCACCAAATGAGAAGGGAGCACTCACTGGAGAAGACCCTGATGCTGGGAAAGATTGAAGGTCAAACAAGACGGGGACGGCAAAAGATGAGATGGTTAGACAGTGTCATAGATGCAACGAACATGAAACTGAGCAAACTTCAGAGGACGGCGGAAGACAGGAAGGCCTGGCGGGAGCTGATCCATGGGGTCGCGAAGAGTCGGACTCGACTGTGCGACTGAACAACAACAACAAATAGAGCTTTGGGCACATATAATGGTGGAAAAGATGTATTGTCTCTTTGCTGACATCACCACCAGAGTCTCAGTTTTCCTCCACTGCAACTCTAGCAGTCTTACCTGGTGCTTCAGGTATCCCAATTTCACTGTAAAACAAGGGGATAGGTTTCTCTCTAGATTTATCATTTCCTTTTGTTGGGACATTTAGGCTTTGTAATCTGGTGAATGTATAGACAAGCTCGTATATAAAGAATGTGACAGAGATGATTAACAGACAAGGGGGCCTCAACGTGGAGCTTGTAGGTACCGATATGTCTGCGGATGCTTTCCTGATGCCTGCCTAGTGTTTTTAGAGAGAGGTGTAGCCAGGTGAGCCAAGTGTTTTTAGAGAACAGGTGTGGCCAGGTGAGACTTTTGCCCAGCAGGGCTTCTGCCTGAAATGTTGAAGAGTTACTAGCAGAGTTATGGATAACCTCCCTCCCTGACATAACTTCACTCCTCCTCCTTTAAAACTAGGACTGCCAGGCCTCCTGCTATAGTGGCAGCTGTCGTTGCCCAAGTGTTGGCGGGAGAAAAATCTGGTTTTACTATAGGGTTCCTAGTGATTCCTAGAGCTACCTTATGTCATTTTGTGGTTTTCCCTGAGCCTCCTGTAGATTTCCAGAAACACTGCAAACTCTGAAGCCAAATTTAACTGGTTAATTCACAATTCAAGTGAAATTAACCTGCTTGAAAAAGACCACTATCCCAACGAACAGTTCATTACAAGAAGACTGTATTACAGTGCGCAGAATACCCACAAATTTGTAAGATTAGTACGGGCTGTGTCACAAAAGTAAGTACAATGGTTATGATTATATTCATTATACATCTTGCTTTATCTCAAATGAAGGTATTATCCAGAACAAAAAGTGCTCTGTTTTATGCTGCGATTCTAAGTTAACAGCACAATACACAGAACTAAGTTTTATCATTAGCTGTGTAGCATTCTTGTTTTTCTAGAAGTGTTATAAGTCCTTAAGAAAAGACAGGCTGCAAGGATCACATCATTTTGCGACTGAGAAAGTTTTTTGATTTTTTTTTAACTGTTATGAGTCTTGGGCATGTGTTCATTCAATTGGTGGCGATTCTCCAGGAATCTGAAGAGGTACAATCCATGGATCACTTTTTGTGAGCATTTACTTTCCACATATGCATAGTTGGATACTGGACTATTTTAGAGTATTTCTTCTTCTTAGCAGAATCATCAAGGTAACAGCAGTATAGGAGGGCTTTCAGGAGCTTTCCTAAATTCTAGCTACCTAGACATACCTTCATACTTTCCACTATTCACTTTGTTTTTGGGGGTTTTTTTTGGTAGTTCTAGTCCTAATTCTGCCTTCTATATCTATTCCCCAAAGTGTGCATTAAGTACTGAAAAGCTCCCAGTGTTCTATTTAATTTGAACATTGAGCTGAATTGATGACAGCTCCTTTTCTAAAAGTTTTTGCATTGAACAGATTAGTAACGGTAATTGATGTAGCATTCTAAATATATGCAGTGTCAAGTATTTTTTAGACTGTAATCTGTATACATACAAATCTATCTTCCCCATCTACCCCTGTTGCTATGACAGATGGGGTGTACAGCTATTGTCAGCTTGCAATTAAGCCGATTCATTTGGCTGTACAACGTGCTCTATACACATCTAATATAGCACTGTTTATTGGATGTCCCATCTTGTTGATTATATCTGAACTACTCTATGTAAACTGCAATTAAGTCTCAGTGAGAAAGATGGGATATACATAACGTAAATAAGTAAATAAGAATATCTACAATATTATATCTCTATACACATCTAATATAGCACTGTTTATTGGATGTCCCATCTTGTTGATTATATCTGAACTACTCTATGTAAACTGCAATTAAGTCTCAGTGAGAAAGATGGGATATACATAACGTAAATAAGTAAATAAGAATATCTACAATATTATATCAGCATTGTATCAGAGCAAGGAATGACTTATGCCATCCACATATTTGAAAAAACATTCCCCATTCTTTGTCAGAAATTAGGATGAACTAGCAAATAATATGCACAGTGAAAAATTACATATTGTAACTTAAACTGACAGCTGGGTTCAAATCCATGTTACCCCACAAAACGTACTGGATGACTTTGGGCAGTCATTACCTCTCAAACCTACCTACCTCACAGAATTGCTGTGGGTGGGAAGAGGGAGGAGAAGTTGGTGTACCATACTAGGTGCTTTAGAAAGAGGATGGAATAAAACATAAAAATGTATGTTGATATATACAATCTAACAGCATTTTTTGAAAAGAAAATGCACTACAAATTTAAGATGTTCGATTGTACTCCTGTTCTTTCCTGAAAATCTCAAGGCCACACAGCACTGGCTGTCACATGAGACCACTGGCTTCCTAGGATGCATTAAAAGTTACAAGTTCCATGGCACTAAGGTGCTATAATGTCTAACCATTATCTATCGTCTAGTACATCCAGGACAGTATTGTGTTCAGTGGTGTGACCACTTCCAGCTTCCACAAGTTAATACACATAATTTGATAACTCATGTGCAGAGAAAAAATCCATTAATTGCACTGGTATAATGAACTTTATTAATTGATTTGAGAACAAAACTAAGTTCTATACTTACAGGTTGAGGCTGTTCTGCAATACAGCAGTTGAAACACAACCAGAACTCACTCATGGTTAACAGTTCAAAGTGCAAACCCCAACACAAGGAGCAGGACACACAGCTCCAAATCTGTGTGACAGTAGCACTTCCAAGTACTTAAATCAAATGTGCTGTGGTCCAGCAGAAGACAAATGAGAATTTCTTCTGTTATGCTTTTCCTTTCACGGACACAATATAAATTGGTGCAAAGGTAGTAGTCTTGACTCAAGGTATTGTCCACAGCATCATAAAAAATGAGAGGTTTTCCTTCAGTTCTTGGACTGCACACAGTAACCTGGAAAAAGAAAAGAAAACTGAGTCAGATTAATTAAAACTGTGTTGCTAAATGTCATAATTTAAAGAAGCTTCCAAGGAGTAACTCCATGTACAGAATAATTGGTGTTCTACACTTTTATATACAGATGAGCTGAAAATGAAAGGTTCCCCCTTCTTTCTATAGTAAAGTCAGCAAAGAAAAAATCTCAGCATACAGCAGTCTGAGTGCCACCTTCCTCCTCTCTTTTTCCATAAGCATTAGGAATTTGGTAATGCTTATAAGAAGACTTTCGATATGAACGTTCTCTACATGGAATCACAACATAAAATGCTTGGTATACAGTCCTTTAAAAGAAGGTCTCATTTCCTAATGTAATCATTCCTGAAGGGTACCCGCTCTACATCACCGCTGTCTGTATACCTCAAGCCACTTAAGCAACCCAGCCTCATTTAACAGTCTCATTCAATACACTTTGTACTATTCTAGTGTACATGCTACCTGTATAGTTTGCTTCTGTTATCCTGCTGTTTTAAGTAACATTATTTTCAGAAAAGAAAAGAAATGCCAGAAGTACATTTTATTACCTTAAAAGGTTTTAAGCTCCTGCAGTGGAAAAAACTGACACACAAGACTCTTTCATGAAGCTGAAAGATTAGTTAATCTCTAACCTGAAAAGGTTATACTTTGAAAGGTTAATAATGCAGCAATGTCTGAATGCTTTCACTTTCCTCATTTGGCATACTACCTGCTACCTCAGCTCTACTTTGTAAACCACAGTCAAGCTATATTACAAAGACAGATGGATAAGGAACACTAACATGTCAAATTAGGATCCATTTGTGACATTTATATAACATTAATCTAACTCAAGAATTCTCAAGTGGAAGGGGTTCCTCCACAAAGAGGTTACAAACTGTTATTGGTAGCATTCCCCCCCCCTCTTTCTCACCTCAAAAGAGGTATGCATTATGGGTGATAATAGATAACCATCATTTGTACAGGTCCCCTACAGCATCTGTCCATGATAAGACCATTTTTATAACACAACATATCCAATGAAAAAAATGAATGTTCCCATAGAAAGGTGGGGTGGGACATACATATTTTAAACAAGGAAGCACAGGGGTGGAAAAAATTCCTGACCCTATGAATTAGGGATAAAGTGAAGGAAGTGGAAGATACATTCCCAGGGAAGGGAGGAGGGAGAATACAAACTTTCTGCTCAGCCTCCTATTCTGAAGACTGTGGATAATTTGTGATGCTATGACTATAATAGATTTTGCCTCTTTCCTTTCCTCTACTGCATTCTATAGACAGTGGATGGTAAAGAAAAACTATGTCTACCTACCTATGTAGGTAGGAACACTGTTCACATTTCCAGAAGACAAAGGGGACCAATATGATGAATCTGTGGACAGCCCCCTTTTCTTTCTAGCCTACAGTGCAGTTTGCTTGTGGCCAACTGCAGCTCACATGAAATCTGGAAAGCCTATATTGGTTTCCATCTTCAGGTCCCCACATCTGCTAGTCAACCACACCAACTTCTTTCTAAAGTCTCCTGTATAAATTCTGCTATAAAACATAACCTAATTATATGGAATGTAATAAACCTAGGTAACACACATAGTTAGTACAAGATTCCAAGAAAGGGATGACATGACAGCGGAGCATGTTTGAGTTCTTAACAATTAACTTTTATTGTTTCTGAAATCCAAGATATTAAAAAGCTTATATGCAGGAAGTGGCAACTTGAAAATTCCAGGTTCAGGACCACTAAGGTGCTAGCAGATGCTAGTATCAGCGACAGGGTAGGGATTACAAAGTTTGGGGAGAAACAGGATCACAAAATAATACATGCAAATGGTTTTTTAAATGTACCACAAATATCTAGCTAAAGGTAAAGGTTCCCTTGCTCGAAAGCCAGTCGAGTCCGACTCTAGGGTTGCGGTGCTCATCTCCGTTTCAAAGCCGAAGAGCCAGTGCTGTCCGAAGACATTTCCGTGGTCAGGTGGCCAGCATGACTAAACACCAAGGCGCATGGAACGCTGTTACCTTCCCACTGAAGTGGTACCTATTTATCTACTTGCAATTTCTTGCTTTCGAAATGCTAGGTTGGCAGGAGCTGGAACTAGAGATGGGAGCTCACTCCATCATGCGGCACCCAGGTCTTGAAATGCTGAACTACTGACCTTCCACAGCCTGCAGTTCAGCGTCTTAACCACTTGACGACTGGCTAGGTCTATGTAAAGTTCAAAAACAGGAAACTGCACAATTCACTGGAAAACATGAATTTCTTTTTTAAAATTACAACTCAGATATTAAACTTAATAGGAGTTTAATGTTCAGTTGGATTCCAACTGTAGCTTCTGCATGTCTTCCTCATTATTCAGCTTTGTATTCTAAAATGTCTTTCAGCTTTATGATTTTGAGATAGAAGGGAAATACATGAAAAACATAAAACAGAATAACGAGGCTAGGGCTGACAACCTCCAGGTGGGGGGCTGAAAATCTCCCAGAATTATATCTCCAAACTATATAAATCACTTTTTATTACTTATGTACTTAAAACATTTATTCTGCCTCTCTTGGAGAAAATGGTCACTTTGGAAGGTGGACTGTGTGACATTATACCCTACTGAGGTCCCTCCCATCCCTAAACCCCACTCTCCCAGGCTCCACCCACAAATCTCCAAGTGTTTCTGAACCCAGAGTTCAAGCCTAATTAGGACCCTTTAGAATTTGGCATTGGCTTCTAGTAGTAGAAAGGAGTATGCATAAATGAATATTATTTCAGTATTGACTCATGTGAAAGTACACTCATCAAATTTTGGTCATTTATACAATTTCCCCCCCAATTCAAGCTCAGGGGATTCCTTTTCCTCTGGTTAGCAGCCCAGGTGATCATCCAGGCTGCTGACTGGACAGCCCCTGTGTTTATCACAAAGCTAATTCTTCCAGCTGCTTGAAGCAGTCTGTCAAGTGACAAAACAAATCTTTCTTTCTTTTTTTTAATCCTCCTAAGGGGAAATTTTTATTGGTTTTTTGCAGACTACAAACTATAACAGAAAATATGCGAAGGGGGACTACATCTAGGGAAACAGAAAAAAAAACCCCACTACTAACTAAAAACCCAAGAGTAGGAGATCAGTACAACAGCTTATCACAATGTCATTTTAAAAAGCTAATAATACAATGAACCTAGTGGGTTATGCTAAGTTAATTAACGTTTATCTATCCCTTTAAATGTTTAAAGAAAACACCAGAGCATCCCAAAGTTATTTCAAAATGTTTTCAGGCACAAGTCAGAGTCCTTCAGCCCTTATTTATTCTTTTCTAATCCTCAATTTCTAATCCTCAACTTTTGGGGGCTGCTGCCCCCTTTTCAGAGGGTGAGTCCTCATCCGAAGACCCCGAGCCTATCTCGCCATCAGATTTGCTTTCTTCTTCTTCCTTTTTGTCCTCCTCTGGTTCCCCAAGCTTTGTTCACAAAAAGTCACATGCTTTAAAAACAGAGTCAATCTTTTCTTTTTTATTGTGAAGCTTGAAAATGACTCCTTCTGGAATGAACCATTTATAACTGATGCCATTTGTTTGTAAGAAAAGGATTAATTCTTTGTAGTTCTTTCTCTTCTGTCTTATGTCAAATGGAATGTCTTTTAGAATCATGATGTTGTTGTCCCTGATTTTCAAGGGTGTTCCCGTAGTTGCTTTCAAAATCAAGTCTCTTACATGTCTCTTCGAGAATTTGACTGCTATTTCCCCAGGCAGATTATTTTTCTTGATATATGATGAATATGACCTATAGACCACATCCATCTCGCTGTAGAAGTATTCCACTGTCAAATCTGTCATTGGGGCTAATGATTCACTCAGCCGTTGCTTCGGATTCTCTCCTTTAATTTCCGGGACCCCTTTGAATCACAGAACCAAATTTGCTTTTTCCATTTGCAGCTGTAGAAGTTTGGATTCTTCCATGGCTTGCTTCATATCCAGCTTCTTCACCTTTTTCTTAACTTTTTTAGTGCTGGCATCCATTTCCTTCACCTTCTCTCCCATTTGCTCCGTTGCTTTTAACGATTGAGTCAGTTGCATTTGCTGTGAAGCCAAGCTTGTCATCTCATCCAGCAGAGGGTGCAAGAAATCAGCCAACAGTTTAGAAAGCTCGGGAGTCTCTTTCGGTCGAGGACTACGCCCTAGTTTTGCTTTCAACAACTTTTCTTTCTCTGGTTTCTTCCCCACCATCTTTTTGGATTTGTTTACTTTTCCAAAAGTTGCTAAAGTCTCTGGTACTCGCCCAAACGCTTATTTGCACTCTGGTAAGTCTCTTAAAACAGATTTAGATGCTTGTTTTTCTGCTCCCCCCCTCTTTTTGTGTGTTTCATCTGCGCGTTTGGGAGGATCCCCTCCCCCGCTCCCTTTCCCGGCACTCTTAAAGGGGGGCAGCTTTCTTTTAAATCTTCATATTCGCTTCAACCCGACTCACAGTTCGTTGTTGGCCTAACGGCCTCGCTCGTCATCGGTTATTTCGCCCGATCTCCAACGCAGCAGCACTCGTACCATTCGGTCACTATGTGGCAGGACCTTCGGGGCGGAGGAGCGCCTCAGTTCTCCAGCTTCTCACCATCGAAGAGGTTGCCCCTAAAAAAAAAAC